TGCAAGACTGAGCAAATACTCATGTCATTGAAACCCCAACGGTGGCGCTTTAAAAGCCACCGCTTCAACTTGTGACACATGCCACCAAAAACCTTCGAGGTCCCCAACAAAACCCCAACATTACCCCAACATAAGCCCAACAAAAACCCAAACCAACCCCAACCAAATCCCAGCATTGTCCCCGATTGAAGGCTTGTCAAGGCTGAGCTTTTTTTGTGCTCTCGATGGCATCTGAACATCCAGTCGTCCGTGCCAGATGTGGCAAGCCAAAAGTCAATTCCAGGCAGACATAGCCTCAAGCACGGGGTCGTTGTTATAAAGAGTTCGATAATGGTGGCTTTCGAGGGGGTTGAAAAGCCATCTGTAGTTGCAATGCACAGTGTAGCGAATTGCGAAATCCCGCTACTGTAAGGCCAACATCGTTAAGATATTCTTTACTCTAGGGTTTAAGGTTTAGGGTTGCTCATCAACTCATGCCCAACTACCCTCCAGGATTCTTCTACTACCTAGGATGTAGCAAGCTACGAGTAGTGTCCTTCTTGCTTCCACGGTGCAAGAACGTGTTGTGTAAAGGTAGCTGGGCGAAGCATTTTCCACCAAGTTCCTGAGCGTAGGGACAAGGGTGTCGGGTTGGGCCATTGGGGTCCGGAGTTTAGGGTTCAGGCGGCTTTGGGGTTGGAGTTTCTGTTTTCAGACAATTTCAGACCATCCAAACCCCCAGTCTCCAAACCCGGAGCCCTCCTGAGCAAAAGGACAAGGGTTTCGGGTTGGGGTTTGGAGTTTGGTTTAGGGTTTGGGGTTGGAGTTTTTGTTTTGAGAACTTGCAGGGCCTCCAAACCCTGAGCCCTCCTGAGCGTAGGGACAAGGGCTTCGGGTTTGGCTTGGAGTTTAGGGTTTAGGGTTTGGGGTCGGAGTTTTTGTTTTCAGACCTTCCAGGGCCTCCGAACCCTGAGCCGTCCTGAGCGTAGGTACAAGGGTTTCGGGTTGGGGTTTGGAGTTTAGGGTTTAGGGTTTGGGGTTGGAGTTTTTGGAGTTCAGGGTTTAGGGTTTGGGTTTTTGTTTTCAGACCCTGTAAGGTCCTCCAAACCCTGAGCCCTCCTGAGCGAAAGGACAAGGGTTTCGAGTTGGGGTTCGGAGTTTAGGGTTTAAGGTTTGGGGTTCGAGTTTTTGCTTTCAGACCTTCCAGGGCCTCCAAACCCTGAGCCCTCCTATGCGTAAGGACAAAGGTTTCGGGTTGGGGTTTGGAGTTTAGGGTTTGGGGTTGGGGCTTTTGTTTTCAGACCTTCCAGGGCCTCCAAACAAGGGTTTCGGGTTGGGGTTTGGAGTTTAGGGTTTAGTGTTTGGGGTTGGAGTTTTTGTTTTGAGACCTTCCCGGGCCTTGGAGTGTAGGGTTTAGGGGCTGGGGTTGGAGCTTTGGTTTTCAGACATTCCAATCCCTCAGCCTCCAAACTCCCTGAGCCCTAAATCTTAACTATAGTCTCCATTGTAGGTCCTTTTTTTGGTTTAACCATTTCTACATTAAGGATCCTAAAAGTAACCCCAAAAAGGAACTACAATGGAGACTATAGGTAAACCCCAACCCTAAACCCCAACCCCAACCCTAAACCCCTAAGCCCTAAACTCTAAACCCAAACCCTTAAACCTTCAATGGAATCCTCAGCCTTTCAGCCCGAAACCTATACCTGAAGGGTCTGACCGTGTGGTCAGACAAGACTGCATTTCAACGGACAGCCAGCTGGGCAGGCAGCGGATGCGTGACACATTACTCATCGGCTTGTGTCTCGCGATCGCGTCTCTTCGTCGGAGGCGGCAAGTCGGCGATGATGGGTCTCAAGGCAGTCAAAACATCCCCCGGCACAACTCCAGGTTCTTGCTGCTGCATGTCTGGCGGCAACGGTTGATCATGCTTGATGAGATTCCACTTCTCCCAGTTGTGCTTGTGAACCAAGGCAAGGGCACTTTCCCACGTCCGTTTCACAGCAAAAGCGCGATCAAAAGTTTTCTGCGAGTACGTGCTGCCTCTGAGGACTTCACTCTCAGAAAAAAACCTGCTGGTCCAGCGATGGTCCTGATGGTTTAATCCGATGGTGCAGCCGGGGGGACAGATTCTTGCCAGAATGTGCTCCGGCGATCTGTAGATTGTCGGGCCCCTGGAGCCAGCTGCATGCCGTTCGGCCGGCACAGACGACGAAGGTTCTGCAGGAGCTGCTGGCACAGACGACGAAGGTTCTGCAGGAGCTGCTGGTTCGGGGGGTGCAGCTGCAGCTGCCTCTGCAGCCCTGGGATCCACAGGATCGGCTGGAGCATGTGGTTCCTGGACCGGAGGCGGGCAGGCTTAGAGTTCAGGATATAGGCTTTCGAGTTGGACTTTTCAGGTTGGGTTTAAGCCTAAACTCACCTGTCAACAATACAACTTAAATCCCAGACCCTAAGGCTTAAAAAGCTATGGTAAACCGTAAACCCCAGACCTTGGATGAGGGTACGGTCCTCTGGTTCTGTTGCAGACCTGTTACTAATAACAGTTTGGAGCTTACATATGGGAAAAAGACTTGAAAAAAACATAAAAAAGGCTAGTTCAACCCTACACCCTAAACCCTAAACCCTACACCCCAAAGCCAAAACTGGTTGAAGCCGAAGTCCTGAACCCTAATAGCCGTAATAACTTAACCCAGAAATCCAAATGCTTCTGTGATTCTGCCGGCGGCCCTTGACCAGCTTGCAGTTTGCAGCGTTTGCGTGCTCTTTTCACAAGGCTATCCACAAGCCCTCGCTTCACAGGGGCAGCGGTGCCCTCTCGCTTCACTTTGCCTCGGCCACGGCCCTTGCCTTTGCCCTTTCCTTTTTTCTTCTTTTGAACAGGCTCATCTTGTAGTGGGACATCCATCTGTCGCTTGATCCTGGCTTTCTTCTTGATGGCAGTCAGCTCCTTCAGTTCCGTCTTGTTTGCCTCGTCCTCCACGAGCTCACTCAGCACTTCACTGAATTGGGAGTCGATGTCCTCTTCATCCATCGCAGAAGCTCCAGTAACAGACTTTTTGGCTTGCTCCACATCCTCGGGAAGAAAGGAAAGTTGCCAGAGAACCTCCTCCAGCATCTTTCTGCTCGCGTTCCCTTTAGGCCTGGCACCGCCCAGCAAAACGATGAGATCCTTCATCTGCTGGACTGTGATCGGCAGCCCTCTCAAGCAGAGATTTGCCTGCAAAGACATGGCAGGCCCAGACTGCTCCCATCCCACAGGCCCGAGCTCCGCGTGAAGTAGCACAGGCTTCGTAGGAACGACAGCCCAGTCCTCCAAGGCAGTGATATGTCTCCAAGCTAGAGCAGACCTGCGAGGCATGCAGACAAAGTGGCTGCCGCCGTCGGATCGCCTTCGAACCTCCAGCTCCCAAGCCAGAAATCCAAACTCTGCGGAGGCAACGACTTTCATCAAGCTTGCAGTGGATTGTTGGGCCACACAGGAGCCGGGCGTTGCAAAAACGGAGATCCAAGAACTGTTCGCGTGCACTGATGCAGGCAATGTATCCTCTTGCCGTGCTGCCCAGTAGTACCAGAGCCACTCAGTTGCTGCTGCACTTTGGAAGAGAGCCGACGGCGAAGGCGATGGGAAAGCTTCTGCCTTCCGTTTCTGTACCATCAGCTCCTCAGGGCTCAGGGCCCTAAGAGTTGAACAGCAAATCACATCCAAAATCCAGACAAACAGCGACAAACAGAGCCCAAACTCGGAACTCCAAAACAGATCTTCCGGAAAACTGAGTAAGCTTAACAATAATAATAACAACAACAATAATAATCAAAAATAATAATAATAATAAACAACGTATACTCAGTACTGACTAAACCCTAAACCCTAAACCCTAAACCTTCCGAAGCAGTGGGCTTTAAGGCATGGGGGTTTAAGGGTCTTTAGGGTTTGGGGTCTGAGGGACTTTAGAGTTTTAGTTTAGTCTTTCAAATTTAGGTTTTGAAGGGATTGGGTCCTGCATTTCTTTGGGAAGCTTGTGGGAAGATGCCCTCATGAGTTGGGCAACAGGCAGCTGCTTGCTAGTTTTTGGAGCTGGCGACAACACTTTGTCAGCCATCGAGCTCTTCACCACATCCAGGCCCCTCTGCTCCAAGACACCGGAGCCCAAGATCTTCGAAAAAAGCGCCGTATTTGAGAACGTATTCTGCTTGCTGGCACGAAAGATGTCCTTGGCATGCTGGTGTGCATTTTCTATCAAGCGACTGTCGCCCACATGCTTCGCGAAGACGGTCTGCAGCCTCTTGGCATGCGACTGTTCGGAGCCCTCGATGCCAAGGCGTCGGTCCTCCTCGAATGCGAGAAAGAGAAGTCTTACAGCAGGGCTGAGCCGCCAATGCATGTACTCAAGGGCCTGGATGGGATGGCCTTCCCGTTCGGCAGCTTCTGCCTCCAGCAGGAAGGTCCAGTGCAGGTTAGCTGCATCCCGTGCTCTGGCAGCAACACCATCCTCCAGTGCCAAGCAGTGGTGGTAGCAGTTGGGTGGAAGGCAATGGAAAGTCACCAACGACATGCTTCGTGTCTCAAGCAGTTTATCAAACAGCTCCATGTGAATCTCCAAAGCATCAGGATGGCCTTTGAAGCGAGGCATCGTGTGTTGCAGCATCTTGACATCCCAGAGAGATGCCGAAACCATGTCCTCCAGCTCGGAGGCCCAATATTTGGATCCTTCACACGAGGTTTAGGGTTTAGGGTTTAGGGAAACTGAAGTTCAGGCCTTGAATTTGGAGCATGGTCCTGTGTATGCAACAAAAAATCTTATTCGGGTGGTATGTGTCGAAGCATGAGTCGAAACCCTAAACCCTGAACCCTCAACCCTAAGCCCTCAACCCTAAATAAACCCTAGAAAAACTTAGTTTTTAAACAAACAAACCCCTTAAAACCTGAATCCTAAACCCTAAATGCTAAGCCCCAAAGCTCGGACCTAAGCCATCAGATAGCAACGACTGAAATATGAGCTCCTGCACAGGAGATGTTGAAGGCCATAACCTGCATGCTGTTCGTGACCTCCCTGGCTCTGGCAGCATGATGCTTCCAGGTCGCCTTCCCGACAGCCATTATGGCATCCTTGACAGCCAGTGAGTGACTGGTGATCAACCGAGGTGCCAGCTTCCAGGAGCCTTGCTTCGCCTTGAGCCGCTGTAGCTCTCTGGCCGGGTCAGACTCTTGAGGCAGCTTGTCGTCTGGATTGTCTTCGTCGTCGTCAGGAGATTGCTGAAGCAGCATCTTGTGCAAGTAAAAAGAGCCTTCGAGAAATGCCATTGATTCGAACCAGCTGAACCATCTCATCAACTTAATCAAAGGCCCCTTCGAGCAAAATGCTGGCACAGTCCGAAGGTCATCAAACAGCCGCTGCGAATCTTCTCGCGTGCGGGGTTCGGATATCCGTTGTTCACGACAAATAAGGTGAAGATGCTCTGTCCACAGCGGCGAACTGCAGGAATTGCTCGACAGGAATTCGTTCAAGCGCGCGACCTTCTTATAAAAGAACTGACTCGTCCCGTAAGGGCCGTAGCTCAGGTTGGCTACCAACGTCAGCTCAAGGATTTTCTTCCAGGCTCGACTTGTAGTTCTTTTGGCCGCCAGTTTAATGTCGTTCCAGCCACGGTGGTAAGGATCGTACTGGGAGTGCAGCATGATGGCTTGGGTGCTGTACATGCAATAGTTAAGAGCACTGACATTGCACGGACCTTGATCTGTGATTGAGATGATGAGTGGCACGGAGCCCAGATTAAGCTCGTCGGGAATCTCTGGGTATGCAGTTTTGGTTTCCCTGCTCCAAACGTACCAGCGGCCGTCTGGGGCTTGCACCCTCAGCTCGTCGCGTGCAAGCGGCCGGAGCAAAAGTCCTTCCGGCACACGAAAGTCGAGCAAGCTGAGTCCGACTCCTGTCTGTCAATGAAGCGGTTTAGGATTTAGGGTTTAGGGTTTAGGGTTTGGGGTTTAGGGTTGAAAAATTAGGATTTAAGAATTAAGGTTTAGGATTTCCGACTCCTGTCTGTCAATGAAGCGGTTGAGGATTTAGGGTTTGGGGTTTAGTTGAAAAATTAGGATTTAAGAATTAAGGTTTAGGATTTCGGATTCAGAATTCAGAGTTTAGGGTTTACAGTTTAGGGTCCCGACTCCTCTCAACGAAGCCGAAAGGCCACGAAGTTCGCTGTATCCCGCCACTCGTTTCAGCTTGGAAGCCTTGGCCAATGGCATCAGTGCGGCGTCCAAGTCAGAAACCATAACCGGATTGAGCTCTTGATTCAGCAGCCAGGCAGTTTTGTCCAGGTGAGAACTGTATATGGCAGCTACCAAGACTTCTTTGCCTGCATACGACGACGGATCCCAAGCGACTGCAATTTGCCGCTGCTGGCTGAAGGCTCCCGTGAGTGCTTGATGATGCAGCAGACAGTCCAGGTAGGCCTCATATCGGAGCATATAGGTGTTCGCAGCACCAATGTCCTCATGAGTCCTGCCTACCCGGAGCCTGTTGAGCTTCTCTCGTCGCAATCCTTGGTTGACTTCTGTACCCGGGCTAGAAGTTAAACTTCTAGCTTTCTTATTCTAGTTCATATAGAAATCCGGAAGTTAAAGTCAAAAGAGCCTTCCAGAAAAAATGCCAAGAATCGGTACAAGAGAATCATCCGATTCACAGGATCGGCCTGCCTCCGAGCAAATCCAGCCTTGGTCCTTAAAGATGGCAGCACTTGCAATTCTTTGCGAGCCAGCCTCTGTGCCACCAGAGCCAATGAATCGCCCAATCCAGCAATGACATTCGGCAGGGTCAAATCGACCAGGCATGTCAGCAAATTCTGCTCTGTAGCACGACCCCGCCGAGGGTGGCAGGAGACCCACAGAAGAAAATGCAAAACATCATGCAGCGAAGCACCCGCCACAGGCGTCGTGATGCAATGCCCCAGCCAAGTCGTCGTGGACAGCAAATTCCAAATCCGAAGTCCGCCCAAACACTGCTCGAGGAGAAGTGCCCAGGTATTTCGGCATATGCCAAATGCATCAAACGACAACTCAGCATGTCGAAGAGAGCCCGTGCGATCTACCAGCATGGCAGTGAAGGAGAAGGCCATGTCACCTGTAATCTGCGAGGCCAGGCAAAGCCCAGCCATTCCGAGGAAAAGTCCCAGAGCCTTCATCTTGGCCGGGGCCTTCAAACTCTTATTCTTATCCTTTCGGAGTGCAACCTTTCGACAGCATTTCATAACACGTCACCAAAACAGGCGAAGCAAAACTTCATAAAATAAAATAAACAAAGAACCTACAACAAGCTCATCACGTTCAGGTTCAATGTTCAAGCACACGACTGCAAGCTGATGCACACACTGACTGAC